GGGCAAGGGTGGGGCAGGGCTGGGGGGTTTAGGGGGAGGGTTAGGGGGGTAGGAACCTTCGTTTTTACAAACGGAGCACCGTAGGTACCCCAAACGAACTGGTGTAAGCAAATGACACCAGTAGCATTGGTGTCATTTTAGACTTACCGATATATATATATATATATATATATATATATATATATATATATATATATATATATATATATATATATATATATATGGGATTGACTCCGGTGAGATGACACCTTGTGGTAAGATGACATGTTTCAATCAGATGACGCTGGAGCTCACCACTCATCACTGCAAAGCTCACCACTGACCACTGCAAAACTCACCATTGTCCACTGCAAAGCTCACCATGATTTTCTAACGCTTAACTTTTTTTTCAAAATTTGATGGTTAAATGCTTACAAAGCTCGCCGAATATGTGAACAAAGCTCATCACACTTTAAAGTTTAAAATGATTTCGAAAAAAAAACAAAGGGCGGTGGTGCTGACTTCCAACCGCTGCAGACTACCGCCGTGGACTGGTGGTTGTCCGGTGGTGCAATTTTATTAGCATTTTTTTTTAAAAAAGTGGTGAGCTTTGCATTGTTCCTTGGTGGGCTTTCCATTGACAGTTGGTGAGCTTTGCATTGACAGTTGGTGAGCTTTACACTTTGACCGCCCATGACCAATGGCCACCCCCAATGACCCCCACTGTTGCCGTGGACCGGTGGTTGAGCGGTGGTTGACTGGTGGTTGAGTGGTGGTGCTATTTTTTAACTTTTTTATTTCAAAAAAAAGTGGTGAGCTTTGCATTGACAGTTGGTGAGCTTTGCATTGGGAGTAGGTAAGCTTTGCATTGGCAGTTGGTGAGCTTTCCATTGGCAGTGTTGTGTGTTGTGTCATCTGATTGAAGCATGTCATCTTACCATAAGATGTCATCTCACTGGAGTCAATCCCTATATATATATATATATATATATATATATATATATATATATATATATATATATATAGAATTAATAGAAACCAACTGATGGTTTCGAATGCAAAGTAAGTAAACAGATGTAAAAACGGAGCTGGTGTAATTACCTTTGGAGCTTTAGAAACAAACAATGACTGAAGTTTGAGAATTGCCACATTGATTTGTTGAATGGTGTCATATGCAGTTCTCAAACCCTGTTGGGCAGACACTATGTTCTCCACTGCAGTTTTATCTGATCCGATGTAAATAAGTATCTTGTTGTGCTTATTGGCTATCCCTAGCTGTCTGGCCCTCAGCATTGTAGCAACTACCCATAGTATAAATGCTGCCATTGCCTTGCCAACCCACTCCCTACATTTCATTTTCAAATTGCTAATTTTACGTACAGCTTATATACTCTAGAAGTAAATAAAAAGGGATCAGAACTTAATTATAAGACTGGCCTGTATATTATTAGAAGGGTTATCACAAGAACCATGGAAGTGGTTCCTGGCCTTTCCCATGCGATAATCTCTTGGAAACGAGGCACCAAGGCTCCAAATGGTTTGACAAGACCCTGCAGCCAAAAGTTATATTATGTGGTTGTGGTTCCTTTAGAAGCAATCAACAATGCCATACCGAGTATGATATAGTATTACATAATTGTCTTCCGAAACACAAACTTACTTGAAGAGCCAGAATATTGTGAGCAATCCCTTCTTCTCTAACTCCCTGAACGGTAGCTTTAGCAACATTTATTTCTTTTTCTTCCTCCCTTGCTTGAAAAATTGCATCCTCCAGGGATGAAACATTTTCAGGCAGAGCTAATAAGGGGCTGCTGCTTCCCTTGGCATCATCCATTATCATCTCTGTCTCTATAGAGGATGTTGATGGTTGGGAGACATTAACAGTCTTCAAGATTGAGCTTGCACTGCATGGATGATAAATATTGGCCATCTTCAAACTCCCTGCAAGCTCTTTAAGGACATAATCACCTTTGGGTAGCTCATCTAGCAAGTTGAAGATTAAGAAGCCTTTGGGGAGGGGAGGTGAAATTCTTAGCATTTCCCTAGCAGCATGAAGCCTTATTATTCCTAATGTTGTTCTGGCATGCATTTCCCATGATTCTACTTGGGATTGGACCTCGAAATTCATCAAAAACTTGTGAAGCAACATAATCTCTTTCACAAGCGCAAGCCAGTGTTCACGTCTTGTGGAGCTTGTTATTTCTGGAAATTCTAGGACAACACCTTCTTGCCTGCATGCAGGTTATCCAAATACATGGGCATGCACTCATATTCCAAACACCCAATCCATATATGCATATTTCATTACTGACTTGAACTTGATTTCATGATTTTGAATGATTATATACATTAGATCTCTAATGTCTCATCAAAACTTTTAGGTCATGCCCTTTATCAATCTAAATTAAATTGCAGAGAAAAAGCCAGGACTTAAATTGCAGTAGTACGCGTACATTTGCGTGAAAAAGGACGTACTTACAGTTGGGAAGATTGGTACACTATGGCTTTGTCAAAGAGAGGAGCACCCCATGGACCAGTCGCGACTGGGTTTACACTCTGGTCATTGTCCTTGGAGAGGTCAAGCCTAAGAGCATCTTCGTATGAAATGATTCCAGAAGCCTCAAAGTAGAGAGCATAGTTTGTCAATGTCAACCTACCTAGAAAATGTGTGTGTGGTCTTGTGTAACCTTCTTGAAAATGATTGTCCTTACAATGGAAATGAGAGTAAAATTGCATCAATAATAGAGAAGATCAAAGGCGGGCGGCATACCAGGCCAACTTGTTCCTCTAATATGGCGCACAACTCTCTGCGATGTCGCGGTTCCTTCCACGTGCAGTATAAACTCATTATCTGCCAGTTCTATGGCGGTTGGTTTGGCTTGCTTCTGCAAATGCCTTACGCATCTTAAGGAAACACAAGAGAAATATGATGTAGTTATTGTACACAAAAAACAATACTTTCAATTTATTTGGAGTCAAATAAGCAGTACAGTTTTCAAAATAATAATTACTTGTCAATCTGTTTCAAGAACACATTGTAGGCAGGATAGTGGAGTTTACTGCCAGAAGAAGCTGTAAGAGTCTCGAAAGTAAAGCGCGCATTCACGAAATCCGCTGCCATCGGTATAAGCGTTGCTAGCCACACAAATGCATCTTCACCAACACTTGGCTCCACATCAACCTGTCAATACATTTTAAATAACAACCTAAAAAAGAAAAAATCAAACAACAGATAATACGGAGTACCATTTATCACACCCACTTTAAATCTTGTTTATATTTGTTGGTTCCAAAATAAACTTCTCACTTCCTTATTTGGGCCATCCAAAAATAAACTTCCCATTTCTTAAAAAGGAAAATATTGTCTTAGTCTTATATCTTGCACTAATTCATTTAAATTTAAGTCACATGGACCACCACATATCAGACCATACCCTACCCTTTTCATTAAAAAAATATCTTAAACTTTGTGCGATATTCAAATGGGAACCTTAGTATAGGACAGAGAGAGTAAAAAACTAGTATATTAAAACCTATCAAAAAAGAGATCAAGAATAAAAAGCGATAATAATTGGGTTTTATTTCTAGCACTTGGTTGTCTTACAAGGAGAGGCATAATGTCTGAATAGAACAATGAGATGTCTTCTTGTCCTCCATCATTGGTTTTTATTTCTTGCACTTGGTTGTCTTCCCTTTCTTTTGCGGCACACTCCTGTTGATACTGAGGAGGGGTTATAGAATGGATGAAACCTCTTGGCATGCACCAGGTTTTAAAAAATAGACATTGTAAAATGAAGCATATGAAAATGTAAATGTAAGTTTCTCTTTGAAAAAAAATCAAATGAAAGTTTCCTAGATAACGCCTAAAGCACTCATTTACCACCAATAATTTACATAAGTAGTTTATGAACAATTTCAATCATAGGGTCAGATGGAACTGCAGTAGAATTGCAATGGATTTGACAAGAAACAGCACTTACTGTATATGATTCTTCGTCTGCTGAGCTAGGTGTCTCCCAAGCTAGCATCATACTAAAAGTAAAGCGGCTATAAGATAAACTATCAAGAATAGCATCATGTGTATTGCTGAACATCTTAGCTAGGGCCTTGCAACAAGCAAATTCCACCAACTTCTTTGAGTACCCCTTCTTGGTCACTTCCCATCCCACCTCAAATTCATCCACTAGTTCCTCCACAGATTTATCTAGGGTCCTATATATTATAGAAATATGAACAAATCAACAAAACCCCACTCTAATTTTTTTAAATATAAAATAACCACTGGACAAATCAACATACCCCGTCATAGTGTCTTCATTATCTATCTCTCCTCTCTTATTTGCCCGGTTGCTCTCTTTAATGTTACCTCCGTTTCATAAAACAATTTTTATTTTGACTTTTGACAAATCTAAAGGGAGTGTAATTTGTAGTTCATTTTCTGATGACTAAACATAGGATAGGATATGATGTGATAGGTTAGATAATAATTAGTAGGTATAAAATAGACTTTTTAATGGAAGGTAGAAATATTTTATGTGAAAAATAAAAAGTAAAAGTAGAATTATTTTATGAAAGGGAGGAAGTAAGTTAGAATGACTAAATTCACTTGAAAAATTAAAGTACTCTAGTGTAACATCACTAAAACCAGATTGTATCGGTTGTCAAAAATATACTCCCTCCGTTTGCAAAAAGACTTCCTATTTTGATTTGCAGCAAAATAAAGAAGTGTTAAATTGTAGTTGATTTCCAATTTTGCCCCTGATGTGATGGGTAAAAGTAAAATGTGATGGATAGATTATTAGAGAAAAAGTATGATGTGATAGGTAGGGTATGAAAAAGTAAGGGTAAAAGTGGTTTTTTAATAGAAAGTGGAAGTGTTTTGTTGGAAGTGGAAAAAATGAAAGAGGAAGTGTTTTTGAAAACGTATTAAAATCGGGGAGAGATTGAGAAATGCTTTTTTTTAAGGTTCCGTTTGGATAGGAAGAAGTTCATTCCGATACAGAGTACATACTTAGATTTAAAAAATTGAAATAAAACTTTGAGAATTCCAGCAGGCACATCTTAGCATCACAATTCTAGAATTGTGATTCCAAATTAGAATTGGCTATTTGGCTTGCTCGGAAATTTTAATCTTTTAGGACGTTTTAAGGTCATTTAAAAATGATGGTGAACCCTTTAGAAACTTAATTTGGATTTGGTTAAATGTCAACATTCAAACAAGAGGAATCGAATCAATTCAAACCCTATTCAAACAGGCCTTTAATTAATTAGGAAACTTGGAATAAATTGTTGTAAATTCAATTCGTTTAATTTGTCTTTGAAAGAAACAACAAATTGAATGCCACTCAACCCTAAACATAAACATCATTCATATTATTACATCATCATTAACGTGAGGCGGCGTATTGCAATACCAACAAGCATTACATATGCATATTTTGCAATAGATAGAGAGCCGAAGAAGGAAAGAGATACTCACTGAGCACATTGGAGTACGACACCGTTGGCGATGGAAGAAAGGTGTTTCATCTCGCGCGTTTTGCTATTTTTTTGTTTGTGCCTGGAGCGGTGGTGGTGAGTTAGAGGATCGGGATGAAGATATTATTAAGTATCCCTGTGAGGACTGATGAGGAAGAGCCACCGTAGAATTCGAAATGCGATTATCATCGTCAGTGCATGTTGTGACCATGCGCTGTAGTTTTTTTGGACCGCCATGTGTCTCACATGCAACAAAAGCATGCTAGAATGATATGATATCCTATATATCCTTTATTTTAATATAAAATTTGATACATGTGGTAAGGCTTAATTTTTTGACACGTAATTTTTTTACACGCTTCTTCTCTAGGTTTTTTTTTCACTTCTTCGCGGGCGACTGGATCTTCACGCAGTCCGGCAGTCCTCTTCTTCGCCAAATACCAGGGTTTTTTTCACTTCTTTGGCGACTGAATCTTCACGCAGCCCAGGGTTTTTTTCACTTCTTCAGCGACTTCAAACTTCATGCAGCCTTCTTCTTCGCCAGTTACAATCTTCTTCGCCAAAGGTATCCTATTTCTTCTTCGCCAATTACGATCTCCAATTCCATTGATAGATTTATTTCTGAATTTGATAGATTTATTTCTGAGTTTGTTGCAATTAATTGGTCCAAACTTGATTGATTTGTGTGTTTTTTTGCAGGAGGTTTTGCGGAGACGGAGCACAGAGAAGTGACTTTTCCTGAGATTAGTAGCACTATCCTCCAGAAGATCTGCCAGTACTTCTATTGGCACCTTCAATATGCAAGGTCTTTTTTTTATGTCAAGGTTTTCATTCAATCAAAGATCTTTTTTTCTTCCTCTAATCTTGAGGTGGCATTTGCAATTGCATTGCTACATTGGCACAACTGATTTTTAGTCTGCAGATTTTCGTTTGCCATTACTTAAACTCACTTCGTCCCCAAATAAAATCCTGGGTTACTATTAATAAAATTCTCGGTTACGACGGAGTATTATAGTAGGATCACGATAACTTTTGTTTATTTATGTGTTTTTATTGAATTTAACCCGTGCCACGCACGGGATCGAACAAAATTTTTATTGATTTTTTGAATTATCTTCTATGTAATATTTTTAAATGAGTATAGAAATATATGTAATGTGTTCTTTAACACACATTAAAATCAAAGTAAAACAAATGATTTGGCATTAAATAATTGGTTATAAAAATGCTTATATATAAATTCCAAAGTAAAGGATTTATAATAAAGGATTTAAAGGATTTATTCCGTGCTTTCTTTTTTACTTTTGTCATGGCCAAAACTCTTCATCCGTTGTCAATATCAACCATAGGAGTGAATGATGGAGGATCATGGTTCCTGTTGTGAGGATGTATACATTACCCGCATTTGGTGATGGTCTTGATGAACGAACATGTAAGTCAAAAGATCATTGTGCATCTTATAATATTGTAGTTATAGGCAATTTGTATTTTTTCAAACTTGTGCTATAATTTTATCTTTTGCTTCGTTCCTCTTATAGACTTGTGTATATTCATTGTATTCTAAGTGTTTATTATATTGATTGTATGCATATAATATATATAAAACACTAATATTAAGAGATCAAGTTTTGTGTGTTTCCTATATTTTTTTAGTAGATAAAATAATTTGATCATAGTGGTTCAAACCCTAATTTTTGAAATCTTTATCAAGCAACATCACTTTCTTCTTTCTATTCATATAACTCCAAGTCTCCATATTTGAATTAGATAAATGATGCTTTGAATGATTTTCTTGATGTGTGGCTTCTTCCCTTCAAAGTTATTTATGTTATAATCCTTCCTGACAGTCCAGCCAACCTGGAAGAATGAGCATTAACTTTGCCTTCAAATTCTTTCCATGACTTCTTAACCACCATTCTAACACATGAAGTCTAAGGAGTATGCCATTTTAGAGACCTCGATCTATAGGACCATCAGTAAGATAGGCGAAGTAATTCCAGACTTTAGAGACCTCAATCTATACAACTCATCAAGGTTTGATCTTGGCTCTTCTCATCTTTATGACAGAAGCAGCATGTATGTTATGAAGATATTAAATTGTTTACTTTTGTACAACTCATCAAGATATGATCTAGGCTCTCCAAATCTTTATGACAGAAGCAGACGTAGTAGCTATGATATGAAGATTCATATTAAATCGATTACTCAAATCTTCCGAAAAAGGTAATGCATTAGAGAGCAATTTCCATTGAAATATTCTGATTTTGGGGATTTCATATGAGCTCCATATGTATTTGCTGGAATCTTTAATAGCTGAAGCATAGGCTATTTTTAGGGATAGATTGTCCCTCTCGGTGAAGTATTTGCCATGATAGGAGCATAATTTGTTAGCCATATCATTAATTCTGCAAACTCATTTCCAAACGTGTGAGGTTTGATATGAGTTCCATATGATTTGTTGGATTAAAGTATGATTCCATCTTAATTTAATAGCTGAAGCATAAGCCTTTTTTAGGGATAGATTGCCCCTGCCACTGGAGTGTGTTGCCATGATAGGAGCTGATGGGTATATCCTTATACCCGACCCGGATAACCGAAAGGGACAGGTCAAAATATGACCGGTCACTTTTATCAATCACCAAATGAGGTTAACTCTTCGATTGGGACGGGTCAAAAGTTGACCGGTCACTTCCACTAAAAAAGTGACCGGTCACATTTTGGGCGTTAGCCAATTCGTCACTTCATGTTACGAAGGATAGTCCAGAGGACCAAAGAGACGGGTCGAACTCAAGAAATGACCGGACAATCTTGGAGGAAAGATGACCGGTAAGGTTGCGTCACTTGGGAATGGCAATCAACGTCAAAGGCCAGGGGACCACCCCGCCGTTTGTCCTTCACGAGGCAAATAGTGAAAGGAACATTTGTCACTTTGCAGGGCTGATTGGATTGAGAATATCCATTTATAGTCTTTGATTGAACATTACATGTCTTGGCTTGTAGTTGCTAAATTCATTGATTGAATAGTAGATTGATTATGTACAGTGATCTTCCACGGGCTTCCTATTTTGTCCATAGATGAACAGGGGAAGGTCACAAATCCTCCTCTATAAATATGATGATATTGGATAGAGGAGGGGATCAATTCTTTATCTCACTAAAAAGTACACTTTTGAGATAGAGTAAGAAATATAATTCGGACTGAGGAGATTTACCCGGTCTAAGTCATACTTTGTGTTCTTGTTGTGTGTTTTATATTACGGGTCGAGTGTGTCCAGGTCAAACCCGGTTAACCCACCCAGCTATATTTACACCATCATTTTTGGCGCCCACCGTGGTGCCGATTTTTAAAGTTTTTTCCGACCAGGTCAAAACTTTAACCCCACTAAATATCCACAATCATGTCTTCGAGCAACTACAACGCTGTGTCAAGCCAGGCTGCGAGTGAAAGCACTCCTGCCATCCCATTGATGATGACGAGCATGGGGACAACCTTTGCCCCGATCACCACGGTAGGATCGATTGGCATGATCCCAATCATGTCGACCCCTACTCCTACGCCAACGACAACAATGTTCCCAGGTTCGATAACGACGCCAGGGGGAGCATTCACATCATACCCGTCAGCTTGGGCTAAATTTGCTGCTGACCCGGCAAATGCTCAGGCTCTACAAGGCTATCAACAGGTGATGGCCATGATGCAACAGGCAGGGGGCTTTATGCCATTTGCCTATCCTGGCATGACGCCACCAATTATGCCACCTTCGGTGTCGATCCCGTCGACATTTGTCCCTAGGATGGTCCCTATACGTCCGGTGAATTTGACGGGGACCATGAATGAAGCAGCGCCCTCAAATGTCCATGAAATCAATGAGGCGGGGCAGGAGGCGGCCCGCAGGAGGAAGGGTAAGGCTATAGCCAAACCCAGCAAGACTCGAGATTCAGCGTTCAAACGCCTAGGGGACAAAGAAGATGGACCCCGCAAGTCTGCCAAGCTACGTCTTGGTCCTGAGATGGGCCGGACTAGCGCAATGGAAAGACTTGGCGGGAGTCGTCACGCCCAATCTCGTCGTTCTAGGGAATCTGAGACGATTCACCAAGACGAGGAGGAAGCAGAAAGCCAGCCCAGGGCGTCGGCATATACCAGGCTCTCATACGATGAGGATGACCTGGACAAGATAGGGAGCGTAGCAAGAAAGCTACGTGCCCTGGAGGAAAAGGTGGAAGAGAAGGCGGGAGCGAAAAAGCACACCCTGGCTAAATCTCCCTTTTCGGCCAGGGTACATGCGCAGAGGTTGAGGCGGAAGATTAAGCTGGACGTGGAGAAATTCACAGGAAAGGAGGATCCAAACGTCCACCTTGACACCTTCCACAATGCAGCACAGATGGCCGGGTGCACTGATGCTGAGGAATGCCTACTCTTCTTCTCATCCTTGAGAGGGAGGCCAGTGGAATGGTTTAACGGCCTTCCCCATGGCAGAATTGGGTCCTTTGAGAAACTTGCCGAAGTTTTCCGCAAGAAGTACCAGGACAACTGCATCAAGAGGAAGAAGTTCACCTACCTTAACACGGTAGGGCAGAAGGAGAAGGAGTCCTTGACTCAATTCTTGACCCGCTGGAGGGACGAGGTCGACAAGGTATGGACGACAAGACGACCATGTCTTTGCTGATGAATGCCTTCCGGTCGGGTGACCTCTACACTGAATTCTGTAGAAGGCCACCCTCCTCTTATCAGGAAGGCTACAATACGGCATGGGAATACGCCGAGGCGGAGGTCTTGAACAAGAGCAATCGGGAGCTGGAGGAAGGATATACAAAGGTGAAAACTGATAAGCCGAAGAAGGATGACCAGATGGGAGGGTCCAAGTCGAAGGCCACGTATGACGGGTCTGTCCATCAAATAAGGGATGATAAGAAGGGAGAGCAGTCCAAGAGGCCATGGACGGAGAAGTGGGGTACCTACCACCAATCCGACTCCCACAATACGGCGGATTGCCGATATGTCAAGGTTGTGCTCAAAGAGATGGCCTTGAAGGGAGAGCTTGGGGAAGGTTACGCGACGGAGAATAAAAAGGACCAAAAAGCGAACACCTGGACCCGTCCTCAGGGAAAAGACCAGGGAAGGAGAAAATCCAGGAAGGATAACAACAGTCCGGATAAAGAATTCATTGAGATGATTATCGGTGGCCCGGAAGGCGGGGACACTGCCTCCCAGCGGAAGAACTGGCCAGGAGCTTGCACGTAGCGGTGGTTTCCCTGGAATCACAAGGGAAGCAGGCAAGGAGGGAACCTATCACTTTCACTGATAGGGATCTGCCTAGGACAGGGGGAGATCATAATGACCCTTTGGTCATTACAATGGACATCAATGGGGCTGATGTGGCCAGGGTCCTAGTTGACACAGGAAGCAGTGTCAATGTTTTATACTTGGATGCTTTCAAGAAATTGAAGCTTGACAAGTCCATGTTGAGACCATTGCAAACTCCATTGTCAGGCTTCACTGGAGCTAGCATAGAAGCGGAAGGTCAGATAACCTTACCGGTTACCTTGGGGTCAGGTAACAAGACTGACCAAACAAATGAGATTTGTTGTGGTCGACATCAAATGTGTGCATAATGCCATTCTGGGTAGGCCTGGAATCAACCAGGTCAGGGCTATTATTTCCATGGCACACTTATGCATGAAGTTTTACACTCCCAATGGAATCGGGGAGGAAAGGGGTGATCAAAAGAACGCCCGGTCCTGCTACCGGGAAGCAGTCAAGAAGATGACCTGCCAGTTCGAACAAATTAAACTGGTCTCCCAGCAGGTAGACAAGGGTGAGGAGAAGGCTAGGATCGAGCCAGATGCAAATACGGAGGAGATCCAGATTGACATCTCAAATCCAGAGAGGAAGGTCAAGATCGGGGCTGATCTTCAAGAAGAGCTAAGGACTGAGATTGTCCAGGTGCTGACCAGGTATAAATCATTATTTGCCTGGAGTGTTGCTGATATGCCCGGAATTGACCGGTCAGTCATTTGCCATCGTCTCTCTGTTCTTGAGGGGTCTAGGCCCGTAAGGCAGAAGAAGAGATTCTTGGCAAGTGAACGGAGGGATTTTGTGAAGAAGGAGGTCAAGGACCTACTTGAGGTAGGTCATATCAGGGGAGTAAACTACCCTGAATGGCTGGCCAATGTTGTCCTGGCCCCGATGGCCCCGAAGGGTGATACCTGGAGAATGTGTGTGGACTACACAGACCTCAACAAGGCATGTCCGATGGATTCTTACCCTCTCCCTAGCCCGGACCAAATGGTTGATGAAACCGCCGGGTGTGAGCTGCTTAGTTTCATGGATGCCTTTAAAGGGTATCATCAAATCTTCATGGCGGAAGATGATGAGGAGAAGACGGCCTTCCTCACCCCAGACGGGACATACTGTTACAGGGTGATGGCCTTCGGGTTGAAAAACTCAGGGGCCACCTACCAGAGGATGGTCAACAAATTGTTCAGGACTTTGCTTGGACGGATCATGGAGGCCTACGTGGATGATATGCTTGTAAAGAGTAGAGCAGCCAGCACACATGCTCAGGACCTGGAAAAATGTTTTGAGGTTATGGCCAGACATAATCTCAGACTTAATCCAAAGAAGTGTGTTTTTGCGGTAAGGACGGGGAAATTCCTGGGCTTCATGGTCACAAAGAGGGGGATTGAGCCAAACCCTGAGAAAATCAAGGCCATTGTGGAGATGCAACCCCCAACATCAGTAAGGGATGTCCAGCGGTTGACAGGGCGCCTGGCAGCTTTAAACCGATTCTTGTCTAGGTCGGCAGAGAAGGCCTTGCCTTTCTTTAAAGTTTTAAAGAAAGCCAATACCTTCCAATGGGATGATGAATGCGCCAGGGCATTCGAAGAGCTAAAAACATACCTGACTTCGGACATTGTCCTGTCCAAGCCAGAAACGAAGGAGACCCTATACCTCTACCTGGGGGTGACCCAAATGGCCGTTAGCTCAGTCTTAATGAGGGATGATGGAGTCCAGAGGCCTATCTATTACGTGAGCAAGGCTCTGAATGGGGCGGAAAGTAGGTATACACCTACAGAAAAGGCAGGGTATGCACTTTTCATAACGGCGAAGAAACTCACCTCCTACTTCTAGGCCCACCCCATCATCGTGCTGACTGACCTACTATTGGGCACGGTCATGAGGGACTCCACTTCATCAGGAAGAATGATCAAATGGGCCATGATGCTTACCCAATTCAGCATTGAATATCGTCCGAGGACGGCGATAAAATGGCAGGCTGTGGCTGATTTTCTTGTGGAGATGACGGGTCACCAGGAAGAAGAACCGGCCAGGGCCATCACTGAGCTTTGGTGGTCCATGTCGGTCGACGGAGCCTCTGGACCGAAAGGTTACGGGGGAGGCGTAGTATTCACAACTTCGGAAGGATTCAAGGTATATCATGCCTTGATCTTTAATTTCAAGCTCACAAACAATGAGGCGGAGTATGAGGCATTGATAGGGGGTCTGAGATTGGCCAAAACACTACAAATCAACTGCCTCAAGATTAAGTCTGATTCGAGCTTGGTGGTAGGCCACATCAATGGCAACATGGAGGCCAAAGGAGAAAAAATGCAAAAGTACAGGGACTTGGCAAGGGCATTATTGAAGGACTTGACTGAGTATGTGATGGAACAAATCCCTAGGGGCGAGAACACCGATGCTGACTTGCTATCAAAATTGACGCAAGCAGCCCCAGAACATGTGTCGAAGTTGGCCAGGATTGAGACGCTGGAAAAGGCTAGCATTGAAGGGCTTTCTGTGAGCCTGATAGAGGAGGATGGACAGCCCAATCCAGGCCAGATGATATTTGGATGGATGACTTGGTCAAGTATTACATGACCGGGCAATTCCCTGAGGATGAGGACAGGGTAAGAAAAGTAAAGTTGAGGGCTCCAAGATTCCAAATGCTTGATGGAAGGCTATACAAAAGAGCATTTGGTGGTCCATTGTTGAGATGCTTGACCAGGGCAGAGGCGGAAAGAGTGATTGCTGAAGTTCACGAGGGTGTTTGCGCAGCCCACCGAATGTCCAGGACACTCGCCCAAAGGATCCATTTTGCTAGGTTATTTTTGGCCTACAATGAACCAAGATTGTGAGAGATATGTCCAGAGGTGCAAGACCTGCCAGGTGTTCTACAAGTTTCCGGGAAGGCCTGCGACATACTACCACCCAGTTTCCAATGTTATTCCATTCGCAAGGTTTGGGATGGACATCATTGGAGCCTTCCCTCAGGCACAAGGGAGAAAGAAATATGTAATGGTTGCTATCGATTACTTCACAAAATGGGTAGAGGCCGAGGCATATGCAACCATTACAACCAAGCAGTGCCAGCGCTTCGTCTGGAAGAATATAATCACCCGGTTCGGGTCTCCCCGAAACATTGTGACAGATAACGGGCCTCAATTTCGGAATCCAGGGTTCACCAAATACTTGGAGGACTTCAGGATTACTCACAACAAGGCTTCCGTGGCCTACCCGCAAGGGAATGGCCAGGTGGAGAATGCGAACCGTACAATAGTGGATGGGATCAAGAAGCGGTTGGGTGAGGCAGGAACAAACTGGTTAGAAGAGCTGCCACATATCATTTGGGCATACCGGGTCACTTCGAGAAGGGCCACCGGGGAGACACCTTTCGTCCTTACATATGGGTGTGAGGCCAGACTGCCAAATGACCTTCCGGGAAAAGATCTACGAAGAGAAAGGGAATGAGGAGGACCATTTGGCAGAGTTGAACTTGTTGGAGGAGAGGCGAATGATCGCCGAGGCCAAGATGATTGAATACCAGCAAGCAGCCAAGGCCTACCATGATAACAAGGTAGGGCCTCGTTACTTCCAGGTGGGTGATGAGGTCCTAAGACGAAGGGAGGCTAGCAAACCAGGAGATGGAGGAAAGCTCGCAAAGAAATGGGAAGGTCCATATAGGGTCACGACAATACTACGCCCAGGGACATACAAGTTAGAAACAATGGAAGGTCGAGAGTTGGAAAGGTGCTGGAACTCCCACCACCTTAGAAAATTCTACCGATAGGCCAAATTGGCAGGGCATGTATTTGTAATACCCCTTCGATGATGGATAAGAGCTTTCTTCAATACTTGTGTTGCTAGATCAGAAATACTAAAATAACATGTCTTGATGTAAGAGGCAAGGTCAAAAAAAAAGATAAACCCTTGAGATAGGGGCCTTGATGTTGAGGTATAGCCTTGAGATAGGCTGGGTCTGGAAGAGGACTCGCGTCCATACTTACATGGATCCCTACCAAATTCTCGTTTGGATAGGGGCGAAAAGATGCCAAAATAAAAAACGTTTACCGTCTTGCATGAGCTATCCTTTGCGGATTGAAGGGTCTAGGGAAGACTAGAATTCACTTCAAACGCATAACATATGGACATGTAAGATTGGATGAGGGCTGGTTCTCACCGGCATACCCCCACGAGGGAAGATTGGGTTGGCTAGGTCAACCTAATGATTAGAGAATGGCACATTAAAAGACTTAAAACCTGGAAGAGGGGCCCTGGAAGAAGGGTGTTGCCTGGAAGAGGGCTGAACCTTAGAGAGGGTTCGGGATCATAGGACATGGTCAAAATCTCCGAAGAAAGATCGGGTCTCGATGTTGAGACTTGATGATTCAAAAACCATTTCAGACTATTCGTTCGAAGTTTGAGCAAGGTTGATGTTAGGCATGACATCTAGGCCAAAGGGGTAAAGGAAAGTGGCATGGTCAAAAGTGACCGGTCACATTTTAATGTTCTGGATTGACGAGGAAAGGCAAATGGGCAAAAATTAAAATTTGACCGGTCAACTTTGAGAAAAGTGACCGGTCACTTTTTTAAGGTGGGATTTGATGAAATCAGACGAATCTGGGAAACTTCCATTTTGACCGGTCACATTTTTGACCGGGCACCTGGCCAGAAATTTGAAGACATGCTGGTTGCATAACGCAAACAAGCCATTGGAATTAGATCCGGACGAACTCAACCTAGACGTTTGTTACTTTTCAACCTGGAAGTTATCCGGATCAGAAGACAAGCCAGGAACGAAGCAACCTGGACGTTTTTAACTCTGGAGACCAGGACATGAGATGACCTGGAAGTTTTCAAGCTAGCCTACTACACCATGACATCTAATGACCTGGACGTTCATTGAAGTTCAACCTAGACATAAGCCGGTCCAGAAGACTAGTCAGGCATGAGGTGCCCTGGACGTTTCGTGGGGTGTAGAAATAAAGGTTTAGACCTGGACGTTTAAAAGGGTTGCTAAACCTGGACACCTTCAAAACCCATCTAACCAGGACATTAGATGACCCTGACATTCCTAAAGGGTAAAGCCGGTTACTTCTTTTGACTTGGAATCAAGCATATTCAAGAAAATTGTCAACCAAGCCAATGAGGCCTGGACGTTTTCAAGACCAGGACATGAGAAGGCCTGGACGTTCTTTAAAACGATTCCTAAGGTATAAGGCCGGTTATTTTTATTGACTTGGAAGTTCATTCAAAGGCGATCAAGAAAAAGAAAAGGAAAGCATGACCAGGCAATTTCAAAAAACACACTGGGCAAGAAAAGCAATCATGCAAGAAACAATAACCATGCATAGAAAAGAAGTTCAACCATGCACATTGAAGCAAATAGACCGGCAAAGATTGGAGGCATACCAAGAAAATTTAAATATCATAAGTCAAAAGTAGGCCGGATATCCCCCAGGCCTTGGGAAATTCAAAGTTTTTTGAAAGAACAAAAACAACAGACCCTAACCTATTCTAGGGGAAAAGGGGGAGCTGGCTCTTCCTTATACAAGGCCGGGAGCTTCATTTTGGCCGGGTCAAAGGAGGGGTCCCTCTTCTGGAGTCTGGCATATAGAAGAGACGGGCCTCTCTTCCTTTTGACCACACTGGAACCCGTAAGACCCGACGTCTGTTATCATTCTCTTTCCTTCCGGTTCCTTATACATAACTTTGAAAAAATCCATGGTGTCCTCCGGATTGGTGAGAATGGACCGGGCAACTTCAGTGTGATGGAAGGCGGCCCAAGTCACAGCATCATCAGGAAAGACCTCCTCCTTTGACCGGGCAGTCTCTCTTCAGCTTGGGCCAAAGCATCTTCCAGCTTTGCCACCTTCCTCTTCGCCTCCACTAACTTGGCCCTTTCGTCCTCTAACCTGGCCCTTTCAGCGATCAGCTCTTCTTCCAGCTTCTTCTCCCTCTCAACCCGGTCATTGATCTCTAACTTAGCGGAGTCAAGGAGGAGGGTGAGCACGGAAACCTGGTCCTTTGGTTCAACGATTGACCGGCCAACTTCTTCAGATATAACTCCAGCCTGGAAAACATGCCTATCAGTAAAAGCAAGGAAAGAATTAAACCGGGAGGAAAATCAGAGTTGGTACCTTGCTAAGTTTCTTGGCCAAGGACAGAAATGTTACTTCAATGGACTCCCCCTCCAGATCTGATAGCCTGACCTTCTTCCTCCTTTCCCCCTGGAAGTCTTGTGGGAACCCTTCCTTTTGTGAGAGGAAGAATGACCGGTCCCTTTTCCTTTGGCCTTGACATCCTTCTTAGGAGAAGGGACCCGGTCACTTTCAGAGAGATGGGTGGCTGGAGGAGATTTCAGCTTCTGGCTCTGTTCATGGATAGGGCTACACCGGGCACTTGTGGCCTCATCTATTTCAGGGATGTGAGGAGGAGAAGGAGGCTTGGAAATAGGAGACCGGTTGGAATGGAGAACTTGAACATCATCGTCGTCATCTTCAATGATGGTGGTCATCCTGTTGAAGTTCATGTCTGCCAAAAAGAACAAAGTAACAAGTGACCGGTTAAATGTTAAACCTTATACACAAATAAAGAAAATGAAATTTGGGAAAGCTTGAGAGAGGATGATCGACCTGGATGAGGAGAACTGGCCTCAGCATGACCATCCGGGGAGTTGGCCCGGTCATCTTCTGCGTCATGGGTCGCAGATACACCCCCATCCGGATTTTGTAACCGGTACACCCAGCCCCCGTAAGCATAAGGTTTCCCGGTCACAGGATCACCCTTGAGAAGTTTCTCGCAGGCGTCCTCAAGCTCTTTAGTGGGCTCCGGATGAACCCTTTCAGGTTTCATAACTCGGTCAGCCCACTCACAGTGAGAAAGAGGGAATTGGTCAGGGGGAAACTCAACGAAAACAAATCTTTGTTTCCATTTCTTGTGGCTAGGGGGAAGACCGGTTATAAAACCTCTAGAGTTGGCACGGGAATGGAAGTAAACAAAGCCCGGGCAGTTACTAGTCCCGGGCAAGACATCATACATATGAAGGAAGAGATCAAGGGAAGGTTTGATGTTCAGAGATTCACAAATATTTACAAAACAATTCAAAAACCGGTGAGCATTTGGAGTAAGCTCGCCTGGCAAAAGATTGAACTTATTACAGATTTCTACGAGGAGGGGGCGAAGGGGAAAGATAATGCCTCCCTCTAAAGAAGCAACGTGAAAACCCAACCGGTTACCCTGGTGGGGTTCTATAATATTGGGCCAGTGGTTTTAGAAATGACTTTATAGCCCGGTGGAAGGACAGAGCGTACCTCGGCCAGAACCTTCTTTGTAACCCTAGAAGACTCTTTGAAGACCGGTCCTGAGTCAAGGGCTAGGTAACCCAGCGACCCCAATCGTTCTTCCCATCGGTCCCAACTGAGGACCTTGGGATTGAACCGACCGGGCAGTTGGTTCAAGGGACAGGCTCCTGGGCAACTATTTCCCGGGCCTGAGAGCTAGGATGGTGAGAGGAGCGGCGAATTAAAGGAGTGACACGGGGAGAAGAAGACTCAGAGTGGGAAGAGGAAGAGGGCTGAGAGCCTGACCCATAAGACTGATCGGATATGTTTTGACTATCAGAAGACATTATGATGCCGGTTAAAAAAGGAAAGATGAAAAAATAAAAGACTAGGAGGACTGGAGCACTTACTTGGTGGGAAGCTAGAGAGAGAAAGTAGACCGGGCAAATCAAGAGAAACGAAGGAGAGAAGTGAAGAAATGAGATGGGTTGGAGGAGTATTTATAGGAGAGAGAGAAGGGTTGGAATTCGAGGCGACAGGTGGGGGAAGTAGGGGTGGACACGGTACGGTTCCGGGACGGTTCCGGTTCCGGAACCGCCGGTTCCGGTACCGCCACCCCGAGTAACCGGATAGTATACCGTGCCGGCCGGTACCGGTTCCGGTTCCCGGACCGGCGGTTCCGGTACCGGACCGGCCGGTTTCGCCCCCCCCCCCCTATTTTTTTTTTTAATTTTTAAATTATAAAATTGTAAATTTGCAAATTGCAATTGTTTAAGGAAAGAATGAAATAAAAAATCTAAAAATGGGCCAGGGGACCACCCCGCCGTTTGTCCTTCACGAGGCAAATAGTGAAAGGAACATTTGTCACTTTGCAAGGCTGATTGGATTGAGAATATCCATTTATAGTCTTTGATTGAACAGTACATGTCTTGGCTTGTAGTTGCTAAATTCATTGATTGAATAGTAGATTGATTATGTACAGTGATCTTCCACGGGCTTCCTATTTTGTCCATAGATGAACAGGGGAAGGTCACAAATCCTCCTCTATAAATATGATGATATTGGATAGAGGAGGGGATCAATTCTTTATCTCACTAAAAAGTACACTTTTGAGATAGAGTAAGAAATATAATTCGGACTGAGGAGATTTACCCGGTCTAAGTCATACTTTGTGTTCTTGTTGTGTGTTTTATATTACGGGTCGAGTGTGTCCAGGTCAAACCCGATTAACCCACCCAGCTATATTTACACCATCAGGAGCAGAATTCATCAGCCCTATCACTATCTGCAAATTCTTTACCAAATGTGTAAGGCACCAACACATTCTTTAAAGCTTCCTCTCCTTAGATATTTTTCTTTCATGAAGTTTGACCATATATTATCTCCTTTCTAGACTCTTCACCAAAGCATATAAGAATATGCTTTTTGCATATCAAACAAGGATTTGATTCCCAATCCTCCCAAATCATTTGGTTGGCAAATTGTTTCTCAGGTCTTCCGGTGATATTTGGCTATTCCATCTTTAAAACCCCAAATGCATTTAGATAGACTTCTATGAATGTCTTTACTCACCAATACTGGAAGGGAATGTACTGCCAAAATATGTACAGGAATTGAGGCAAGCACATGTTTTCTTAGAATCAATCTTCTCATTTGACTTATTAGCTTACTGTACCAACTGTTTAGGTATTTATCAAAATGTGCCAGAAATTTATCATATTGAACTTTCTTCAGATAACCGCTAAACATTATAGCACCCAGGCAAGTGAAAGGCGAATTATCACAAGTCATATCCAAGGCTATCTCTTTAAAATGCGTGGATCTTTTGACAGTTTTGTTTTTGGTGTAAAACCTGCTTTTTGAAAAATCACTTTGTATCCTAAAGCTATCAAATAGTCCATCATTAGTACCTCGAATCTTAAAAGATTTTTGGTGCTCTCATTTAAGAAATGACTTAATCATTTTCATAAGCAAGATGACTAATCTTCAAGATTAGTCATGGTTCGTGTGATAAGACTATATACTTTACCCGTATATAGTGATGAGAAGACAACAAATTTTATTGAGATGATGTTCATGGACGAATATGTAAGTCAAAGATCGACTCATAATTCACCATATTATTCATACTATATGTATATACATTATTCTTGACTTTTATTGATGTTTTATTAGTGTTTTATATCAGTGAGTGGGTTAATAACTTCTAGGATTACATTATTGTTGACTATGAATATGATCTACTGCTTTAAACCTATTACTTTTTCAAGTAAGTATATAAGTATGAAAGTGCCATTTTACTTTTTCCAAACTTTGAATAGTACTTTATAAGAGAATGTTATCCTAGGAATACATAAGTATCCACTGCTTTCACCTATCATTTTTCCAAAACAGCAACTCGGCCTTTTCCTTTTATATATTTCGCAAGTGTTTGGTTAACCCGCAACTAGATTTGTATCTTGGTTAAATCAGCAACCCTATCACTTTAGTAAAATAACAACTGTACCTTTTTCTTTCATATATTTTGCTACTGCTTGGTGATTTGCTTTAAGTATCCACAGCAACTGGACATTATATAATTATCCACTACTTTAAGAATCCATTGCTTTTCCAAAACAACAATTGCTTGGTTAACTGCAAGGCTATATACAGCAACCAAATATGCTTTAAAAACATTATATTGTTGTTGTTTTTTATTGATATTTTTCTTGCAAAAATATGAAGGGGAGTACTATCCATGCCACAGTCCGGAAAAGTTTGGTTGGAACTTTTGAGAGTCGAATAAAGGAATGATCTATGTACGTCTTTGCTTATCATTTATATATTAATTTCAGATTTATTCTATGAGAGGCTACCATTTGGCAATTTTTAAGGTTGTTTTTTGACACGTATCTATCCACGCGGCACTTCAAAGTTGAAGTGTATCTTTGATTGCTCATTCACCGAAGAAGTCAACAAATAAAAAATCCAAAATAATTACGCAGGCTCTTCTTCCCAAAGGGAAGTGTCGAAGATACCTAAATTGAGATGAGAGATCCATGTCTATTCCGCAGATCAATCTTTGTCACATGACTTCTTCACTGACTCAATCACCGAAGGAAACTCTCCAAACTTAGCAATTCATTATTCCGATTGGAATTATTCTTCGGTACAAGAATCCAAGTAAATTTGGTCAGTTTCTTAAATTCATATCTAAATCTTATTCAATTCATATTCTTCTTGCTTTGTTTCATAAACATTTCGATTCAATTCCTAAACTTGAGGCAAATTAGCCTTCGATGAACGCATCGTCCACGAGCACATAAAATCTTAGCCTTTACTTTCACTTCAATTTTGTAAGCAAATCGATTAATTTCAAATTGCTGCTTGATTTGGTTCGTCGATCCTTGAGCACAATGTTATTCAGTATGTTTCTTAATGTTGGTAATATCAGCAATATTACCAACATTATAGTTATGGCGCTAGCCTTAAAAAAACATCATAAAATAAATACACTTCTTTTTTTATCAAACAATTGTCCTTTTAAATGATATGATACTAGCCATTTTTGTGTTGTTTGTTTACAAAATAACACAAAACATACATATTATTTTGACATATATTCCGAACTATTTTATTTTTGATCAAATATTTTTTTTGACCAATCTTGGCCAGGGGAGTCATATCATGCAATCTTACTAATAATTTGAAATTGTGAATATTGAAACAAATATTCAAATTAGATTTTTTTAATTCTGGCCAATTTTTTATGTAACATGTATTTGAACAGATTTAAATTAAATTTCATCTATGCTTTTTTTTGTCATTTTTTTTACATATTGCAAAATGTTATTTCATTACAAGTGAAGAGAATGGGAGAGAATTTCAAACATGTAGGAAAAATGTTATTATTACACCTTGAATTTTACAGCATGAAAATGTTATTGCCTGCATTGTGCATGTGATGTTCTAAATGTCACCCCAAAGTTGAGTTTTTCTTCTGCTGGCTTTCATATATTCACCTTTGAATTACTTCGGCCAGAATGCTTACTAATTTTTTTGTAGATATCCAATCAAAATCTCTGTTAAGGTTGATTCCAGTACAACCACATTCGTGTTATTTGACGAGGAGGCCTTCTCTATTTTAAATATGTCATGTTCGCTGTTGTTGGATAAAACTGATGTGGTATGTACTCTTCTTCCACCTTTGAAAGACCTTTTGAAATGTGAAATATTTTATCCCGGATGTTGTATCGTTTGCCCTTCTTTTGTATTTACATTAGATTCATAAATTTTTCAGATTTTTTTACTAAGGTTGGAGACTGGACAAATATTTGGAATCGGCTGAGACACGACGATGGACAAATCGAAATGTTTTAGACTGTGACAAATATTAAAAGGTATCTCGTTATTCATTACAGGCACTCAATGCAGCATAATATTGTGTAACTTAGAGTATGACTTTTTTTGTTGCACACTGTTCTGAAGATTACTAACCAATAGTTTAGCACTATTTGTTTGATCAATAAAACTCATGATACCTAAAGGTCCTTTTTATAGTGCATTTTCATTGTAGAAGTTAATGAGATCTTCTCCAAATTTGGTAACCTATGTTGTTTCCCCTCTCTTTATTCTTTATTCATATTTTTAATACACATGCAATGTAAAAGTTGTCCTCTCTTTGAATTTTTTGTACAAAAAATAATTAAATTCCCCTCAAATGATGATGCATTTTTATACATTCCCAATAATTTTAAAAAAAAGTTAATTAAATGTTGCGCAGGTGGCTGCACCAACCACACACACACACACACGATATATATATATATATATATATATATATATATATATATATATATATATGAGATTGACTCCAGTGAGATGACACCTTACGGTGCGATGACATGCTTCGGTCAGATGACGTAAAGCTCACCACACTACACTACAAAGCTCACCAATGGACAATGCAAAGCTCACCTGGAAATAAAGCAAAGCTCACCACTTTGAACCCCAAAACTCACCTTTTTTTTAATTTTGAAAATTAAAAAATTAATTAAAAATAAAATAGCAACACCGGTCAACCATCGGTCAACGGCGGCCGGCGACTGGAGTATGGCGGCGGCGGCTACCGGTGGCGGCGGCGGCCGGCGGCGGCGGTGGCCGGCGGCAGGCGGCGGTCAATGCTGGAGTCAACGGTCAAAGTCTAGTCAGCACCCCTTCCTTTGATTTTATTTTTTCAAAAAAAATTCAAAGTGTTGAAAAAAATATGGTAAGCTTTGCCTTACAGTTTGGTGAGCTTTGTAGTTGTGCTTGGTGAGCTTTGCAGTGGGCAGTGGTGAGCTTTGCGTCATCTGACCGTAGCATGTCATCGCACCATAAGGTGTCATCTCACTGGAGTCAATCCCTATATATATATATATATATATATATATATATATAGGAGCGTCTAAAATGACACCAGTTACTTATACAACAGTTGCTTACACCAGTTCGTTTGGGGTACCTACAGTGCTCCGTTTGTAAAAACGACGGTTCCTACCCCCCTAACCCTCCCCCTAAACCCCCAGCCCCACCCTTGCCCCCCCACCCCAGCCCCCCTCCCGCCCCCCTCCCTACCCTGGCAGTACACTGCACTGCCAGGGTAGGGAGGGGGGGCTAGGGTGGGGGGCAAGGGGGTTGGGGTGGGGGATTTAGGGGTAGGGTTAGGGGGGGTAGGAACCGTCATTTTTACAAACGGAGCACCGTAGGTACCTCAAACGAACTAGTGTAAGCAAATGACACCAGTAGCACTGGTGTCATTTTAGACTTACCGTATATATATATATATATATATATATATATATATATATATATATATATATATATATATATATATATATATTGACACACACACATACATACAGAGTATTATATGGGTTTGATTCAAATTTTCATTATCCTTGCAGATTATTCAATCAATATGAAGAATATGACTTTGGGAAAATTGGGAGTCTTGCAACAGAAAATGTACGCTAAATGCACTTTTTGATCTACAGTATGTGTTTGAACCATCTGCATTCTCTGTGTTGAACTCATCTGTTTATTCTTTTAGGTTGAGCTAAAAGGACCACCGGATCATTCTCATTATTTTAGGTTGAGCTAAAAGGACCACTGCATCATTCTCATTAGTTGTTTATGTTCTTCAGGATAATTCTAGATATGGGGTTGAACTCTTCCTTGCGCATCTCTAAATGGCAGGTGCCTTGATAAATAGTTGCAAGACGAACTCATCAAGATTCTTCATGCATTTTAAATCTCTACCTTATTACCGTGGGGGACAACTCAAAGGTGTTGGATACATACTCTGTTTTAAAAATATTGCTTGCTATAGTAATAGGTGATGATCATTCTCACTCCAAGTGTGTCCTACAAGCCCCTAGGAATAATTTAAAGGGATAAAAACAAGAGTCCCTAAGGGGGGACCAAAAATAATTTAAAAGAAGAATGAGAAACTAACTATAGGGACCAAACTGATTTATAGAGTGAGCAATAAATTATAGGGCCCAATTTTTTGTTTTTTTTGTTAAAAAAATGAATGATAATTTTATGTTATCAATGGTGGCCTAGGTTTTCATTTGAATATTCTTTTTGACATCTTTCCGAACAACATCTACTATATTGTCCTCTGGGAACTCAATATTTATGTATTTTGTAGCAAAAGGATTTATTACTATTCTGAATTCGTTGTGGAATACCATTTGTGTGTCTTCTTGGAGTCTAAATTTTTTGCTTTACTATGTGTATAGAGGTGCCATAAAAGGAGTCCTGTATTCTGCTAATAAGGTCTAACTGTAAAAGTTTGATACTGTTTGGCTTTTTGCAACTTTTGTTTGCAACTTCATTTTATTTGTCTCTTTGCTTTTAACAGCTTAGGTTTGGCTAAATTTCGGCAAATCATGAGGGTGAAGATTAAATTCCATTTGTAGATGAAATAACTATTGTGGTTTGTGAGTTCATTGTTGCTCATTGATAAATAAAAAACAAATGATTTGCACTAATTTAACTAAAGTTGTTACCTTCTATATTGCTCTTTTTTGGTCAAGATTAGCAGCGATTAGGAATTACATCAATTCTTCTTAAGAGTTGCATTTTTGTTGTTGGATTGCTGAATTTAGATGCAACAATTTGTCCACAAATCTTGATCTCTATTTTTTGGTTGGTGATGAACTTTGAAGATGTACATGGAGCTACTTTTTGCTGCATCTTCAATTTGTAGGATGTACTCTTAAGGTTGTTTTGGGTTTGTTTGGCTACTGATTGGCATCTTTGATTTTAGTCTAGATTTTGAATTTTAATATTTGGTGTTGTCATCATAGAAAGTTTAGATTTTCGTTTTAGTTTTGGGGGTTTTTCCCTTCCTTTTTTCAAGGGGTTTAGGGTTGATCTTTCCATCTTGCTTTTTTTTCATTTTGATGACCTTTGGTTGGCTCCTCCCCTTTTCTCCCCTTTCTTTTTTAATAACTTAAAAAGAAAAATTAAATAAATCTGGAAAATAACTGTCTAAATCAATGCTATGAATGTCACACCCCACCCCAAAAAATTCTTATTTCCTTTTTTTAACACTTATGCAACATAGTAAGTAATTGAGTATGTATTTATCACTAGCTTTGGATTTAACACTAGCAGATTATCATTTTTATAGGTTGAATGTGAACAGTATAAGTGTAATGCAAAGTTTTTCCGTTATGCAAACTTTGACCGTTTACACCTTCCTCATTCGTTTTTAGAGGTTCAATCCAAAGTTATTTGATCTATTATTTATTCTACTTTGATGTTAATTACTCTATTATGTATTCTACTTTGATGCCAATGTCCACAATATTAAAAAATCACGTTAGAAATATATTTTCTTAAATCTAGAAAATATTATATTGAAAAATATTTTTTGAATCGACTAAAATTTTGCACGGGTTCGAACAATCGCGTTAGAAATATATTTTCTTAAATCCAGAAAATATTATATTAAAAAATATTTTTTGAATCGACTAAAATTTTGTTCAAACCCGTGCATAGCACGGGTCAAAGTACTAGTGTGTGTGTGTGTGTGTGTGTGTGTATATATATATATATATATATAAAATAGAGTTTAGCTATTGTAGTGTTGACATGTGGCATATCACACATGCATCCACATGTGCACCCATTTATGAAGTTGATATACGCATTGCACCCATTTTAAATATCTTTTAATATATTTGTATAAATTTTTTCATTTTTTAATAATTCTAAAAATATATATTTCACCATTGTAAAATATACTCCGTATTATGTATATATGTGTGTGTGTGTGTGTGTGTATAGACACACACACACAAAATTATTTTTATACTATCCACAACTTATTTTTGTTTATTACTTCTCAAAAAAATGATTGTATAAATTTAATCACATGTGCATATTTATTAATTAAATACTTTGTTTCAAAAAATTTATCTTACTACATTATTTATTTTATTGCTACATATATCACTACAAGAAATATGATCTTTTGTGGCTAATTTTTAGTAGCAAAATAAATATTTGCCACTATATATAAAAAGTGTTTTAATATTTGTGGAAATTTAAAATTTGCCACAAAATAGTATACTTATTGTAGCAAATTTATAAAATTGCTACTATACCTAAAATATTAAGGAGGGAAATTAATCAAATTATTAATGAACTAATTTTTAATGAAAACTTAACCCCGCCTAACCCAAAATTAGCCCAAAACTATTCCCTCAATCCATTATTGCCGCTACACCTCTCTCTCAAGTCTCACCCCCTTTGCTGTCCGTCGCCTCTTTCCTCTACCGGCCGAAACTCCCCGACATCTTTCGCGAGGACAGGTATTTTCTCAAATGGTTCTTTTTTTTGTTTTTTCGAAAGGTCAGCGTGAATTTGTTCTGCAATCGCATCTCTTGGTTCGATTTTCCTTCGATTTTTCTGCAATTGCATCTCTTCATTTGATTATTCTTCGATTTTTCTTCAATCGCTTCCTTTGCAATCACTTAAGCTGGAATCAAGACTACTGCAATCCCGCCTCTCAAGCTTCAGCCTAGGTGATCAAATTTCACAATGTCTCTGCTTCATTTGTTTTTCAATTTTAGATTGTTTATGTTTGGTCCTCACATGTTTTATTCTTATCCTTAAAATCAGATTACTTCGCAGTCTTGAAATCGCTGTAAGTTCTTGAATTTCAGATATATTAACACACCCTTTCTCCAGTTTCCAATTTGATTTTGATTTCCAGTTTACACTCCAGATGTCTAAATCAAATTTTCATTCCTTACGATTATTTCTTGTTGGATTATGATGAATTCTGGAAGGAACTAGAAATTGTGGGCATGAGAGAGTAACATGAAAATTAAGGGGGGTTTCTAATTCAGTGGCTCATCTCAATATGGGATTCCAATCCAGCCTAGCAGTTTTAGAAATGCTACATGAACCAAGAAGGGAAACAAGTTCTGTCTGTTTCTTCCTTTGTGTTCTTCTATCCATTCCAAGAGTTCTTGCATTCAAGCTAATAGCCATTGACATTTTTTTGGGCACAAAAAAGGACTACTACTCTGCACAGAAACCACTATTCTTCTCTCTGTAGATTTCAATATGTAATTACTAATCCGTGTGTACTATTAAGCACAAGAGCCATCTACAGACTACTACTGCTTTTGATTAATTATTGGTGGCATTCACAATTAAACTACTATTTTAAAATGTTAAGGTGAACTCTGATTTTGAAGTTTTTATTTGGATGTTCACAAATTTGGATGTTGTGATTATGACAATCACAGTAATAGGCATGCTACGTATATGGCTGTTCACATATTTAAATGATATGTGCATAACTTTTAATTATAAATTTTTAGATGCTTGATAGAGTTGCATTTCATAAATTTTACATATTAAATTAGAGATTAGATCCGTGATGTGAGCCTTTATAACCACTAATTCGTTAACCCCTGAAATTGATTTCCACTGCTTTTAGGAAGGAATTAACTTGTTTCCACTATATGAGTAAGCAGTATGAATTTCGGCTTAAGAGCCTCTTAACACTAGATTCAAACATCTTTCATGCCCCCTTTGACTGTATTTCATTGTTGTAAGTTCACATCTTCCTAAAAGAGCAGTATAATAATAAAATAATACGGAGATAATAATGCAGAGTATAATAATTAACATAAGTTTCAAAGGAAGAAACAGACAGAACTTGTTTCCCTTCTTGGTTCATGTAGCTGACATTTTTTGGATTTTTCTGTACATTTTTTGGATTTTTACATTCTAAATTGTGTTTGATGATGCTTCCACATGTGTGAAATCCAAGGAAATACATGGATTAGTTCTGAATGATGTTTGGTTTTGTTCATTTTCCTTTAGGTGCAGTTGTAAGTGTCCTAAAATTCTGAGTAGGCACTTACACTAAATTCTGAGTATTAGGCTCTTTCTTGTGGGGTATAAGCTTTTGTGATATTCTGAGTTCTTGTGGGGTATGAGCTTTACAGCAAATTCTTGTGATATTCTGGGAGGGCATTTACAGTACATTCTAAGTTTTGTGATATTTGATAGCCTTTTATTTAAACAAAGTTGTTGTAATTCACTACGCTTGATTGTGGGGTATGAGCTTCATAATATTCCATGCTTAGGGGTCAACTATATAGGCTCTTTCCTGTTCAATTCTTGAGAAGACATGCCTATTACCAGCCCTATGTGCATGATTTGGTTCTTTTTCATACTCTCTCTATCCCAAATAAACTTGTCACTTTCTTTTTTTGGTCTCAAAACTATCTTCTAATTTATTTTAAAAGAACATGGTACACATTATTTCTCACTCCCTTGCATTAATCTTATCCACAAAATTTTACATTTACTTCTCAAAAAGTGAATGGAAGTTTAATTTGGGACGGATGAAGTATAACAATAGTATGAAACTCTTTTTTCTCCTGCTCCCTTTTTATTAAAAAGCTTGAGGACAAAAGAATTAGGATCACCTTCTAGCTTTTTGACTTGCTATTGTACTCTCTCTAGAGTGATATTTTTTTAATTTGGCATCAGATCTTCCTACTTATGTTTATTGCCGTGGACCAGTGGTTGAGTGGTGGTTGACTGGTGGTGCTATTTTGTTTTTTAATTAAAAAAGGTGAGTTTTGGTGTTCAGAGTGGTGAGTTTTGTGTTGCGTTTCAGTGAGCTTTGCATGTCAGTGTTGTGTGTGTTGTTTCATCTCACTGAAGCATGTCATCTTACCATAATGTGTCATCTCACTGGAGTCAATTATATATATATATATATATATATATATATATATATATATATATATATATATATATATTGAGTATTTTATTTTGGTTTGTCATTTTAATTATGAAAATAATTATTTTGGCATAATTTATTTAAAGTATATTTCTATACTTGTTTAAAATTGATATTGGTATTTTATTTGATTTAAAATTAATTTCATATTAATTTTTGTGTCAAATAAAATACACATTAAACACTTAAGCGGAGAAGAATTTAACAAATCCTTCTCACAATCATTGTTTCGGCCATATGGATTTCAAGGTTGACAAATTGGTATTATCTTACTTGATTGATAAATTAGTGGTCAAATGATTTGTAATTGATTTGTTAATTTGTCATTTTATGCATAATTAAAGTCCATTATTAAACCCGCGGTCTCACTTGAATAAAAGAGACCACATTCATCAATTTGGCTTAGGAAATTTTCTGCCACTTTATTTTAGTGAGAAAATTTATTTTGTGTTCCATTAATATCATTTTGTGTATAGAAAATATCTATAATACTTTCTAAATATTATTAGAAATATTTTCTATAGAAATATACAAGATTATTATTATCCCAAATTTTAATATATATATTTTATACTATTATAATCTTTTCTAGCAAAAGGGTTGTGGTAGACTCCGGCGTTGTTCTTGTGTCAAAGTTGGAGACCGGACGCTTGAACGGTTACATTTGTACGTTCAACGTTCTTCCTACGACTTCTTCGTTTTTACCGCTTACAGAGAAAGGTATAAATTTCTAACTTACTATAAGTTTTAGTACGTGATTCTGGGCAAGATAATCATGTTAGGATATAAAAATTTTATATTCCGCTGCCTATCCTTGCATGGTTACCTTTCACTAGAAATATCGTTTGAGTTTATTATTTTTAAGTCAAAATGTTTACAATGAAAAAATTTGCTAAATGACACAAAATTAGATTTGATCGGATAAGCTTACCTTTGTCTTCGGTCTTCTACATTTTGGATTCATAATGCTCTTTTTGATAGAACTCCAATTAGGGTTCTTTGTGTCTAAAAAACACTCAGAGAGTTATTTTATTGAAGACGATTACAAAAGAATCGGAGAGTCATTTTATTTGAAAATGATTACAAGGCAGTTAAAGTATCCACCGTGTCTAAGTCACATCACACTTCCTTTAGGGAAAAAGTTAGTGTTTGGACGGATGCCCAAATTGCATAGATAGTGAACAAGTTTGACTTATTATTTATCAAAGTGAAAGTTGAGATTAATTTTAAAAGATCAGTGAAGGTTGGGATTATTTTGAAAAAATTTTTGTTTAAGTAATGCATGCATGTACTTTTTTTAAAACATATTTTTTTAATTAATTATCTTTTTTTGTGAAATAATTTTTTATAAAATAAAAAAGGAAAATATTAATAATGAAAACAATTAATAACAAATAATAACAATAACAAAAATATTACAATAACAACAAAATAAAATTGTATTATTTTGTATTATGAATTTCAAAAGATATAATTTAATTTGAATATTAAAAAATACTCTCTCCGTGCGGTATTAAAATTTACGTTTTGACTTTTGGTTATTTTTAAGGGAGTTTGACTAACCATGTAAAATGAATGGAATACCCTTAATAGAAAAAAAGAAGGGAAACAAAAGGGTGGGGCGTATGGGATGGGAAGTGAAAAAAGAAAAAGAAAATATTAAATGGAGTGCGTAGAAAACACTATATAAACATAGTGGAATAAGGATGGTCTACATCAAATCAACATTACACAACAATGATAAAAAAAATTCAAATGTAATGAAATTACACATAACTTGAGATTCCCTCCAGTTTTTTTGCTACCCGCCCAAAAACTCCAAAATCCCCAATCCCTCCACTGCTTATATAAAAGCAGTCACTTTCCCCTTTTGGCAATCTTCATTTTGTCTCATATTCCTCTTCTTCTTCTCCATCCTTCTTTGACAATTTCCTCTTCTCTTTCATTTTCTTGCAATTTCTCTTCTTCTTTTTGTTTTTCTGCTTCTCACATTCTAGATCCCTGCAAAGACAATAGAAAATCCTCACATGAATTCCAAAAAACATGACAAGACATCAAAGCAGCTTATTAGTGAAGCTTTACTTAGAAATTAAAACAAAATACAGATGGGTTGTATTCAGCTTAGAGAGGGCAGATCAATAGCCTTGTTGCACAGCTTAATGTGTCAAGACAAACAATTAGCAAGATATGTGTCATTGTAAGGAAACAATTGGAGCACAGGGTTGCCGTTGATGTGAGAAGCAAAATGGTAGGTCAGTGTGGGAGAAAAAGGGCAATAATGGATGTAAAGGCTATCGCAGATACCTCCTCTCAAGAAGAGGGGTACTGTTGAGGACTTGTCGTGCGGTCCAAAACAAATTAAAAATTTATAAAATAACCTTAGCTAACCCCCAAAATATAATCAAATAAAAACTATAGCTAGGGCAAGTAAGGGTCGATCCCACGGAGAAAGTTTGTACTTTTGAAATCATTTAAGCATGCAAACACGTTGTCACTAAATAAAATAAAAAAACTACTACACATATGATAAGACGTATAAAACTTATAACAAAACTTATAACTATAACTTATATAAACAAAGAACTTATAATATAACTGAAACACAACACAAAGGGGGGGTTTGAATAAAAAATAAATATTTTTTGGTTTTTATATTTTCTTATATTTTTGGTTTTTTTTGATAAAATGGGGGAAAACAAGCTCAAAAGATAATCAACTTCTCCAACAAAGGTAACCCAAGAAACACCGCCAAGAACCCAAAACAAAATAAAAATTGAGAACAAACACAAATTGAATATTACACGTATAATAGGCACTTAGACAATATATTACGTAACTTACGCACTTAAGAATAGAAAAAGAACTCAAAGGCTCGAGTTGATTCATATCCTTGACCACATATAGAGGATCGTCAACTCTCTATAAGGCCCGGAGTCAAAAATTCAAAGGCCTTTTGGTTACTTTGAACCCCCACTCACCTCAAGCGCTCAAACAATGATTCCAAAAGATGAAAAAGTTTATAAAAGAGCGAATCTTTCTTTCATTCTAACTCCCATGCACAAAGTATTCATGAAGAACATTTGATACACTTTAATAAACTTTAACGTCTAATGATGAAAATATTTTGCAGGTCTCCTCGAACAACTTAAGCGTAAGAATTTTAGTCTATTCACATAAAAGAACATGACATATTTTCAAAAAACTTAAAAATTGTTTTTGTGCTTAAACAACCTTAAATTTTATGAAAATCAACACAAAACAAACGAACAAAATAACAATCACTTCATAACAAATCTTAAGGAAAATGTCCAACTTATGTAGCTAAGAAGTCCAAAATCCTTAAAATTTTACAAAACACATAGAACAACGAAGAATCACGTATGAATATGTGGCTAAGAAGTCCAAAATCCTTAAAATTTTACAAAACACATAGAACAACGAAGAATCACGTATGAATTCGGAAATCATTTAGCTATAATATGGAGCTAAAATAGCTTCAATGAAAACTCAATTCCACATACCAACCTACTTATGAAATCAAACCGTGCGATTCAACCAATTCAACAACAATTTACACAATAATTGAACAAAACTAGTATGAATCAATTTTCATTCATAAGGGATTTAATATAAACATTAAAAAAAACCATAAAAGAACACCAACCATTTTGGAATTTTTTTGAAATTCACACAACAAGCAAAAAAAATGTAAACTTGAATTGAAACTACACTTTTACAAAGAAATTGGAGAAGAAATTGAAGAAATAACATATAGGGTTACCAATTATTGAAGAAGAAGATGATGAAAACTTGTAGAATTGGAGCTTGAAGGAACTGCCACACCTATCACTGCCGACCATCGTCGAACGCCGGCGAGCCGTGGTCGACCGCCGTCTGCTTTCTTCTCCGGTGGCGACAATTGCAGCAGCCAAAAGCCGCTGCTCACTTTCCTGTTGGTGCGATGCCCTTCCCCCTCCTTTTCAATTGCTGCAAATGATCTTCAATTTATAGAATGGAGGAGCCAAATTCTTCCCGTTGGAGCATTTATTTTGGCGAACGTTGGAGAAGAGCCGTTGAAGGAATTGGTCGTCGGTGCTCGCGCGAAGAAGAAGAAGTCTTCGTTCCTTTCTTTTCCTTGTGCCGTGCGTGAGATTCAAGAGGAAAGAGGGGTGCTGGGCTGATCTAATTTTGTTGATTTAATGATGGGTTTGGGCTTTGGCCCAAATTCAATATCTTCTTTTCAAACTTGAACTTCAATTTGGTCTTCTACTGCACTTTTCTCCAAAAAATAAGATATCTGATAACTTGAGTTAGGAAAAAAAATAATAAATTGTAAAAAAAAGTGATTAAAAAGTACTCCGTACTATTTATGAAAGAAAAATAAAAGATTGTAAAAATGAGAATTAAAATAAAACTAAGCTAAACTACTAAAAATTAAACTCCAAAAATATTAAAAAATGCATAAAATTGGATAAAAAGTACTAACACAAACCCGAGTTATCAGGTACTGTCAGAAGATTAGCAACAACAATTGGTATGCCAAAGTCCACTGTCCAAAAGAAAGAGCAAGAATAGGGCTAAAGGGGTGTTGGAAGTAAAACCAATCAAGAAAAGTGGTCAACACATTTATCAAAGAACATTCATATTCAGCAAGATATTGCTATGCCACACATTCTCTCAGACCTTATCATTTCATAAGTTTTTTTCTTCACAGAAAATAGCAACACATATTGGAGTTGTATCAGATCCCTCCATGCCATCACTATCACTTTCAAGAACTAAGACCTCAACCTTCTCGCTCCTTAGATCAATAACAGAGTCGGTTTCAAAAATAAGGTCGATTACCTCCTTCGCTTTGACCGGGGCAACATCGTCAACGTCCTCATTATTTTCTAGGACGATGACCTCGTCCACCTCCGTTGTCAGAACTGTAGGGGTAAGAGCCATCTACAAATTAGGTTTCTGGAATACATGATTCGTAAAGAAAATCATGGAATTCTATTCAAGAGAAGGAGAAATTGAGGAGATCTATACAGATCTAGATCTACAAAGAAGATAAGGAGAGATCTGTGAGAGATGTAAATACGAGATGAGGAAAGAAGAGCCGAAGAAGTAAGTGAGGAGAGGAAGGGACGGATAAGGCATTAAGTAAATGAGGAGATGAAAAGACGGATGAGAAATGGGGAGTGGAAAGGTTGGGAATTAGAAAAGGTTAAGAGTATTTTTGGAAGAAAGTAGTTTAAAATTGGAAATATAAATTTTATTTTTGGACGTTGAAAAAGGAGAAACATAAAGCTTATTTCCGGACAAAGGGAGTAATTATTTATTAAAAGAATTAGAAATGCAATCATTGCATGTGGTGAGGCATTATATAACCTAGGAAAATGCTAGGGTACACCAAAAGTGTACCCCAAACATCTCTACCCTTCCTTCCCACAAAAAAAAGCAAGAAAAAATTCAAAAATAAAATAAAATGAATGATAGAAAGAGGAGGGTACATTTTGGTACACCATCATATTCCTATAACCTAACCAGCATAAGGCTCAGCCTTTCCGCTCTCGCACTGCTGAAGGTACCTTCTTGAATTCAAACGGTTCACCATCGTTCGTTAGGGTTTTCAGTAACGTCCGGATCTCAATGGCGGATGAGGAAGTTGTGGTTGCGGCCGAGACGACGACATCGGTGTCGAGCTCTGACAATCACAAACGGAAGCTTGAGGATTTGGAACACGCAGCACCAGGCGAGTCCGTCCTGAAGGTGGAAGCCGTTTCAGATTCAGCCGAAAACCCCAAAGCTGAGGTGATTGAGGGCGGAAAAGGTGAAAACGAAGCTCATGTTGATGGGTCTGAAGCCAAGCGACTTCGTCTTGAGGATAAAGTTGATGACATAGGTATTCTACCTAGTTTCCTTGTATCGAGCGCAAAGCTATGTGGTTATCTGTTAATGCGTTCTCTGCTTGCATTTAACTTGCAAATATGAAACTTTTTCTTTATGTATTTGTGACAATTTGAGTGAAACCTTCTTAAAACTAATATCCCAGCTTGTATCATCTCTTAAGCAAATGGATACACCATATGACGATTAATTTTCTTTTGAGAGTTCTAAACGTAGTGGAGGTATGGTCTGGATTCAACTCTTCCCCAGACCTTCGAAATACGGGGTATGTTTGGTTTGGTAATATACTTACTGAATCCAAGCAGGTAAACTACAAGATAGAATATCTACATGTTATTATCTTCCTGCTATTTTTCTGGATGTCCAGGTGCTGAGAATGGACACAGAGAAGAGACGAAAAGGGGGGAGTCAAAAGAGGATGATACTGTAGAGAAGTCACCCTGTTTGGATAGTAATATACAGTTGGATAATGGCCCTGAGGTGGATGATATACACACAGAAGAGAAGAAAGGGCATGAGTCAGAAGTGGACTATTCTGGAGAGAAACCAGTTAGTTCGGATCATTGTAGACAGCTGGATGATGCCCCCAAGGTGGATAATGAAGCTCAGGAGACTACTATCAGTGAACAACTTGCTCCAATTAATGATTTAGAAACAAGTGATGTTCAAGAATCCAACAATAATGACGAACTTCAGAAATATTATAATACAGAAGAACCATGTAAAGGTGAAGTTCATGAGCCCTCTTCTAGTCTCCCTCAACAAGCAGGTGCTCCAAATGATCAAGATAAAAATATAACAATGGAGACCCAAACAGTATCACACATATTGGAGGTCCCCAATAACAAGGTTCAAGGATCCCTACCCTCTGCAACTGCTTCAAAATGTCTTTTTTGTAATATCTAATGGATTCCTTTTCCTTATTTTGTGGTGGGCACAGGTTGGTGTGATCATTGGCAAAGGCGGAGAAACTATTCGACATCTGCAATTCAATTCTGGTGCCAAGATTCAAATCACCCGTGATTCTGATTCTGACCCTCATTCTACAACTAGGCCTGTTGAGCTCATAGGAACTTTGGACAGTGTAGTCAAGGCTGAAAAGTTGATAAAGGATGTCATAGCTGAGGTATGGTGTTTATTATAGTGTTACTCTTTTGTTGATCTTATATAATTGGTTTATGTTATGATGTTTAGTATATTGTTATTCTTTTGTTGACCCATTCCATCAATATTTTGTACAATTGTGGATTCATAAATGGATGTTTTCTTCTATAGGCTGATGCCGGAGGCTCTCCTTCCCTCGTGGCTAAGGGATTTAACCCTGTGCAATCTGTGATTGGAGATCAGATTGAGATGAAAGTTCCAATTGAGAAGGTTTGTGGCTTCATTTCTACACCTTCTTTATGCTAACTAGCATATCTTTTTTTCAACATCTCCCTCTTTTTTTATCCGATTGAGGTTATGTTGCACTAGATTCTCTGCCCGTGCGATGCACGGACAAAAAGATTGATCTTAATGTTATATATATCTCTATATAGGGGTGAATATAAATATCGGCCCGTCATTGTTCTGAATCGGACTAACATGTACGGAATCGAAAAGCGAGTTTTCAAATGGTTCTAGTAAATTATATTCCGAAACGAATCAAATCCTTTCCAAAATGGTACAGGACGGGGTTTCAATTGAAAATACCAAATCAAACTCCTAACACTAAAATATTAAATAAATTCTAATATTTCCAAAAAAACCCTAATTCATTAGGTATTTTTCTGTAATCATATTCTCCCTCACTCCCTAAAGTACCATCCTCTTTCCTATTTTGATATTCTGATAAGTTTTGTTTGCATATGCTTTTTTATGATATAATTGATGAAAGAAAATATTCTTATTGCCAAAGATGATAATTTCCCATCCTCAAAATTAACGTCTTAGTTTTACTTCATAGGTTTTAAGGCAAATAAAAGTTAATAGAAAAGGAGAGAGACTGAAAAAATGGTTTAAAAGATGGAAAAAGTTGAGCTAAAATGGAGAGTGAAAAAGTGATTGAAAAGATGGAAAATGTATGGTGAAAAGGAGAGTGTGTGTGAATGGTGATTTTGTAAAGTAAATGTATTTAGAGCACACCTTCTTTTGGGATTAAACTCTTAAATTGCAGTTTTTTTCATTTCCTCCCAATTTTTTCATTTTCTTCCAATATTTTTAGTTCTTCGTGTTCCTTCTATTTTTTCGTGATTTCTCTAGTTTCTTCATCTCCTTTCATTCTTTCCGAACTATTACTCCTTCATCCTAAAAGTAACTATACATTTAAATATTCACTGTCTTCAATACAACATTTTGATCATTACTACTTCTATTTTTATATAGATTATAAAAATAAAAAATTTCAAAATTATGTTTCAAAATGAATCTATTGAAATTAAATTAATATGATAATTTAAAGTATTTTTTTCATAATATGCAGTCAAAGTTAAAAAAAATTGACCACAAAAGTCAAACTGGGAAGTTAATTTTAGGCGGAGAGAGTTTTATTTTCTTCAAAATCTTTTTAGTTTCTCTGAACAACGACTCAAACAATCATCCAAAAATTCCTCACACATTTAATCAGATGCTAACCATACATTTTTTATTATGTTTACACTATGACTTTTTATTACATTTCATTAAATACATTTTTTGCCAAGATTAAACACATTTAATGTATTCTTAAAAAATATTTGTTCATCAAATTTTGAAAAAAAGGTGCTAAAGTACTCTGTATTGGTTAGAATGCGGCCCACTAAAAAATATAGTCCACTGTAGCATTTACCCAAAACCCAAAAAAATAATGAATTCATTTACTCTGTATCTTCCACGCGGCCAACGCCTAAAACACTCGACCCTTTGCCACCAATCTGAGATCAAAGTCTAATTACTCCTCTCAGCGACCGTCCTGCTGGGTCTGAGAAGGCCCTCGTGGGATGGGGCTCATCCTTTTTCCTAAAACACTCAACTTACCACTCATCCTCATTTCACCGACCTACCACCCAAAGCCCCTTCTCGATGTCCCCTCTCTGTCTCTCTAGGGTTTTTTCTCATTCTATTCAGGCAAACGGACTACGAAAAGGGGAGGTTTCCCCCCGGTTGCCTCGCCATCTTTGTTTTAAATGCTGGAATGCTAAATCATTGACGGCGGTTAGCTTTCTTCCAAATTTTATAATGAACTATATCTAGATTTGGTGATTTTATACCTACCTACTCCTCTTCCTTATCATGTGGCCAAACAATTTCTCGATCTATAATAAACTATATCTAGATTTGGTGATCTTATACCTACCTACTCCTCTTCCTTATCGTGTGCCCAAGCAATTTCTTGATCTATTATTTTTCTTTTGATTTTTTTTCAATAGTCCCAATTTTTTAGTTTTTCCTTAGATATGCAAGTTCATATGGAGATCTACAGATGTTTGAAGTCATGTGTGATGAGTGTTTCATTAGATCTGCAAGTTCACATGCAGCTCTAGAGATGTTTGAAGTGTGTAATTTTGTTTCATGTGTATTTTCCATTTTTTCTCTATAATGGTGAAAGTAATATTAGACCTTTGAATATATGTTTAGAAATTTTATACTATGTAATGTTTTTAGAAATTTGTGATTTAAAGAGATGAAACTTTCATATGCTGATCATGATAATAAATCTAAGAACTGTATTTGTTTTACATGTAAACACAGAGCTATTATATTTTTTCTTTTTTTGATGTACAAATTTCTTAAAATTTACGGAGTATAATTTTGAGCTTATTATTATTCTAAATGTTTTAATTTTTCTATTTTAAATAGTATTTTTTAAAAAACTTCCAAAATTATAAATTGACAACACCAAGGAATTAGATCGAACATATTGATCACTGGGAACATGGGGAGTAGACAATAAACATTAAAATTAGTAGGGATATGCTAGGGGTACACCAAATGTGTACCCCAAATGTACACCACTCTCCTTTCTACCATTCATTTTATTTTATTTTATTTTTTTTAAATTTTTCTTGCTTTTTTTGTGGTGATGGAGGGGGTGGGGGATGTTTGGGGTACACTTTTGGTGTACCCCTAGCATTTTCCAAATTAGTAATCAAACTATATGAGTATCTTTTACCTACCATGTAGATCAGAACACTAAAGTTCCAATTTAACATTCTAAAATAGTGCAGGTCTCACCATTTTATTATGAAGATACTCTAGAAACATATTCAAGGTAAAAACTCATTACTAGCAAATTACATAGATTTGTTTTAACATTTAGAACAAACATTCAACTCATAAGTAATATATATATGAAATCTCAATTGATGCAGGACAAACACTTCAATGCCCCTGAGTATTACTCTGTATTTGTTTTCTTTGCATCATGTATATGAGGAAATGGGGCAAAGAGCCATTTTTTACTCCTGGAATGAAGCACCCCAGATTTGAAACATGAACCTACTGGAAAAATGTGTTGCTAGAACTTTTTTGTTGATAGTTCATAAAAGCATAAAATAAAAAAAGAAAATGAAATGGTGTGGATCTGACAATGTAATTGTAATGAGAACTTGTATTTATAGTGTGGAAAATAGTTGGGATGTGATTGTGCAATGTAAATACTTTGCACGGGAACCTAAAGATTTTAAAATCATGTGTAATTATGTCCATGCCTCAAAAGGTTTGTATATTCAGCCTTGCTCTGCATGATTTAATGTGCCTTAATGTGCCAGCCCATTTACACATTTATTGGTTCCCGGCTTCCACCTGTAAAAGGTAAATGTAGCCGCCAACACACACCTCCCAATGCAAAGGTCATCATACCTCACGCCTGAATACATTACCCAATGCGAGAGTAATGATGTTTTTACGACTTTCCAAAAAGCTATCCATTTAATTCAACCATTCTCGCCCAAACCCGATGGACCATTGTATTATTTACCCGAACCCGAACCCGAAATCCTTAGGCGGGAAAAAACACTGTTCATCTTTCCCCTTTGGCTTTGTATATTAAAAGATGCTTGCATTTTATTGGTCCAGGTTGGTTTAATTATTGGAAAAAGTGGGGAAACTATTAAAAACCTTCAAGCAAGATCAGGAGCACGCATTCAGGTATTGTGTAATGATTGCTAAGCGTGAGTTGATAATTTCTACATACGGAGTCGGATAAATAATTATTTATTGGCCTATTAGCAAAAAGATCATATCCTTTACGATTTAATTTTGCCCAATGCTATCAATTTATTGGTCCAGGCGCACATGGCCTCAAGTTCCCATCTGATGCGGGTGATGTTTTGGAGTCACCTAATTGCGCATCTGTGCCCGTACTGTTGTTAAATGTGTACACGCCTAACGCGTGTGGTGTGAATCGCAGCACATCTTAAATTCATCATGGATTGGCCATAGTAGCATGGTTGCACCTTATTTTAAGAAAAAGGCTGTAAAGAATAAGCCAAAACTAGGAATAGCAACAAATCATGAAGGGTTGGGATTTTACCTTCAGCCCGGCCTTGTTTACTTATTTGTTTTTTTATTTATTTGTTATTCTTTTTCTTTTAGCTTGTACAGCTTCCTGATGGAGAACAAGTTAAAGAAAGAACAATACGAGTTAGTGGTGAAAGAAAGCAGATTGAGAGGGCCCGAGAAATGATACAAGAAGTCATGGATCAGGTCTGTACTCATTTTAAAATATTCTTTTTATATAAGCCATGATTGGTCTGACATATTTTACTTTTGACGTTTAGTCAGAAGTACTGTTCTTATTTCTGATGCATGAATACACCTGCTTTATTTAGTTTGCTGTTTCTTTTTCTGGTATACAAAGATCAATCATCTCTGTGATATTTTGACTATATGACTTGTTAAGTTAAAATTGATGTTATTTGGTCTATTGTGAATGCTGAATTGCATATAGGTTGAATGAATAATGTCATCCAACATGCATGTTTATCTTTTTGTTTGTAGGTATAACATAATGAAGTCATGCTTAGCTCTTATCTTTTCGTCACTTCTTTTATTGTAATAATGTAATTTATTGTTTTTTCTGTATGTGCAAGTCTGCAAGACCATGCACGAATATTTGATTAATAAAAGAAATTGATATAAGTTTTCATGTTGCCATGTGCTCAAAGAGGAGGTTATATGATATTTGAAATCAATCACGGGGTTTACTCAGATGGAATCATAGTTTTTCTAGTGTTATGACTTTCTGACCTAATACATCTCCCTCTGCTAGATCTTGTCATACTTGCAGTGATTGCTTTATTTGGATGCATTTGGTCATGTCTTAGAAAGATTGTCTCCTAATAGGATCAGAAGATTTTTCTATTAAAAAAATTGTATATTCCAAGGTCACTTAATGCAGTAAAGGTGGTCATATATTGAAATGAGATGTCAGTTGCCATGATGTTTTTCATGTTGAAGGTGCCAATTCCAGTTGGTTGGCTTTAAAAATGCAGATTTGGATTTTGCTTTTCACACCAGGTCAGCATTGCCTTCTTCGTGTAGCAATAGACAACTATTCACTCTCATCTTCAGAAGAGAGGTATCGAGCATTAGTGCACATGATATCAGGCTTTGTATAGTTGGTAAGATTGCTTTGTGACCTAACCCCAAAATAATTGTAGTACTAAAGACTACATTATTCTTTCCTGGGTGCTATGTTGGTATACACCATATATTGAATAGGAATATGCACAGTGGCATCTTTTCACTCACTTTTTGACAAAGCTGACTTGGTTTTATCCATTTCTTCATGCATAGTGCCATCTTCTTACTCACTTTTTGATAAACATGATTTGGTTCCATCCATTTCTTCATGGTCTCATCTTCAAACACCAACTGTTGAGTTGTATATTTATTTGAAGATCTAATGCCACTGATTAACCAAGTTAGCTTTTCATATAAGTGTCTAATGAAGTTTGCAAATATTGTTCCTTAATTTAACATGGTTTTCTTTATACTTTTAGAACAAGAATATACCCTGTATCATATTTTCGTAGACAAGATACTGTATGCTATTTGTATTTAACATTGTGAGCCTGAGTGGTCACCATATTCATTTGAAAAGATGATTCAAACTGATGTAATTCTTAACGGCCATCTATGCATGATGAACATCATTCCATTGTTTGGTAGGAGTTTAAGGCCGGAATAATGGTTTTATCTTTTTCGTCATGTGCCCCATTCAGCATGTTGACAACTTTGGGACATACAAAAAGCTTCCACCAGTTAACATTTTGCTTTTCTCGTGCGAATTTAGTCTGATCTTTTTTCTGCTGTTGGTCTTTTGGTATGTTCTAGACTTGAAATTAATTATGTGAATAGATTTACAATGCTGGATTATATTGTCTTTCCAACAGTTGTGGTATGTATTCTTATTAGAGTGCATTGCTTTTGAGAGCATTATATATGTTTCGTTTGGAGGAAGATAGTTTGTGAAGAGTAAAATTTCAGTTTTTTCAATTGCAATATACTTGGTGTTCACTGCTTTTGTAATAGTTTTATGAACTTGTATGTTTAGTTTTTCAATCCTATTTATAAGCTAGCTCTATTTTGTTTGAGATCTTTGTGAACTTTGTAGTAGTTTATGCAATAGAAATCTATCCAGGTCAATTCTCAGTGTTGCTCCATTTTTTTTTATCTTTGTTCACATTGTCTTGAATGAATGATATCATATCATGTTTGTATGTATACCTTCATTTATTGATGGGTTTGATCTATGTTAGCGGCTAGAACTTAATATGTTCGCTCTCCTTTTTTTATTTTTTTTATTTCTGCATTTACTTTGTTTTGAAAGAACCACGCTCTGTTGTATACCTTTTGTATTGCATGACAGCAGAAAAGAGCTTTTCGTAAGAAGAAATACAATCTTAAATAAAGCTTGGTATTCATTATATTTTCGTTGTGTACATTTTATATGCTTAGCTAGAGTTGCTATCTTATTCTTATTTTTATTTTCCCTTCAGCGTGTAAGAGCATCTCCTGTCTCTATGGGGTATAGTCAGCAGATATTCCATCCCTGTGGACCCGTTGCACCACAGTGGGGACCACCACCATATGGTCTGGTTCAGAATCCGTGTTATGACTCTCGACAGAGAGGACCATATCCGTCACCTAGTGCACAACAACACCCTGCTCCAGTATATGGAAGTTACCCTTCACATCAACCTCCACCCAGAAGTGGGTTTGGACCAAGTTGGGAGCATAGGCTGCCATCACCTATGCAGCAGGGTCCACCACCACCTCAGGTTGAGCTTTTAGATTATTTGGGAAAGTTGGTCCTATTTTGAGCCAACTGCTTCAGTCATTGTACTATTCTATCAAATTTATTATACTTCCATCCTGAGCTATATATGTGTGCGCTCTATGATCTTACAGGCAAACTACAATTACGGGCAACCTCAACCCTTCTACCAGCAGCATCAGCCACAACCACATGGACAGAGTTATGGATATCCTGGTCAAATGCCACCACCCACGATGCCACAGCAAATGGCAGCTTATCCTCAAGGCGGTTTCACTGGCGATCAGTATGGTAAACCTCCATCATATGGTCTGATTATGCAGCAGCAGACCCAGGCGTCTCATGCCCAACAGCAACATTACAGCCAGCAGCCTCAGGCGTCTCATGTCCAACAGCAACATTACAGCCAGCAGCTACCTAGGGGAGGTAGCCAGTCTGCTGAGGTCCTTCCCATCTACATGGCATCATCTCATGGATATGGTGTCAACATGCAACAATATCCTTACCCATCAACTGGGGGGCCTATGCAGCAGGCATACCTGGCGGGCACACCATGTGGTCCTGCTGCCCCTTCCGGGGATGGTTACAGTCAACACCCACAACAACTATCGTCAGGTCCTGTTTATCCTCAGCAGCAGCAGCAGCCACCTGCCGCATATGCTCAAACTGGGCAACAACCCCCTGTTGCCACTACATATGCTTCATCATATCCTTCACAACCACCAGCTGACAATAGTGTTGCAGGCTATGGATATCAGGCACAAGCACCACCCGCAGATCCATATGTCGGTAGTAGCATCTCTCATCAGTGTACAGCTGCTACTTACAATGCCCAGCCATGCTATGCTCAGGTTCCACCTCCTGCTACTCATACTGGCTATGATCAATCAGTTGCTCAGTCGGGTGGTTATGTAGTTACTCAACCTACAACACAAGCAGCAGCTGCCACAGGTTATGGCAGTAGTGCGTGATGTTTGTGGTGCACCATGCTGATTATTTTGTAATGAAGCTGGGCTCTGACAAATATCTTTTACCTTGCAGTGTTGACAGTACATGCACTTTTGCCAGAAAATTTGTATCTTACTCTTTTGATAGCTCCTGCGTTATTGCCTTCCATTTACATTTATTTAGGGGTCATAAGTTTGTGTAATCCTTGATAGAGAACACGTTTTGTTTGGACCTGCTTTCTGATGTGAATTTGATATTATGGGTTTGCTTTATTTGCTTGAAGTGATTGGTATTGATCTACTTAGAATAAATTTTTGATCTGATATGATTGTAGTTGTATTTAAAGTTATTTTTGATTTTATCTGATTTTGATATGAATAAATAAAAAGAATAAATTGAAAATAACAAGCTCTATGTACCCATACTCTGGTGTTGAGGTGAGGTGATCTATTTTTAGTTGTTAGGGTGACAAGGTAGGTACCTTCACATTGCCTAATTGTCATCTTGGGGAACAATGTGGCGAGTTTGATATGCTCTTTCCAAACGGCGACCATGGGTTTAGGGTCGTAGCAATTTTAAATTGTATAAATGGATTACAGTAGTCATTCCAATTGTGATGGCTTTGAAAACTGGTGTAAAAATTTTTGTTTTCGAAAAATCGGTGACACTTGTTAAATTGGACGGTGTTCTGTTGTACTCTGTAACAATTAGGTGTCATCCTTTAGTGTATGACCGGTACAACCTACACCTATGAATTTAGTTGATGACAATTAAATTGACGTGGGCTTTATATATTACTCCCTCCGTCCCCCTAAGATATTTTCATTTTGACTTTATGTGGTTTTTAAAGAGAGTTGAAAAAAGGTGAAAGTTTACCATAACACCCTTAATGAAAATGGGTGGAGTGTATTAAATGAGGTGGGTGAGGTGTAATAAATAAAGTAAGTGGGGGTAGTTGTGATATTTTGATTGTTAAAAGATGAAATGAGAAGATCTATTGTGGACAAAGAAAAAGGGCTATTGGGAAGATCTATGTGGGACGGAGGGAGTAGGATTTTTTTTGAACGGTGTAAGTAAGTTTGGTTTCATTCATTACGCTCTTATTTTCAAAGTGCAAAAGAAATTTATATCAGTCCAATCCGATAAGATCAAGATATTTCACGAGCTACTTGGAGTTCATGTTTTTGGCCTAATTTTTTTGAGTACTATTAACTCTATTAGAATGTAGTATTTGTTCATACTATTCTCAACTTAATGACGAATAAAGAGTCAATGTGGCCGTTTCTGTTGTGGCTCGAATCTGGGTGAATTTTCACATAAATCCTGGGGAGTAGGCTTATTACCACTCAAGTCAGGGAAGAAGATTTGGCCTAAGTAATTACAAACGAATAATAAATGAGTTGAACATATTGGACTAATTTCCATTATATTTTACCCATCAACTAGTTTTCTACCCGTGCTTCGCACAGGCTAGGGTTGTATGCTAGTGTTTGCCTTTTTAGTTGAGTTTGGAAATCAATTTTTAGGATGTGAAATTAGTTTTGTTTAAGCAATGATTAATAAATCAAAACAAATTGTAACCATGATAGTGTAAGGCATAAATTATGTTGTATAAAATTCATTTCTAGTCTCCCACTCCATTTGAATATGGTCAAAATCAACAAAGATGGGTGTATGTCACTTTTATTTGGTAAATCATTTCAGGGTGCATTAGCGTGTTCTTAGAGATGGAACCATATTTCAATGTTTTCGGAAGGTGTATTAAAAAATTATATACACGCTTCATAGTGAGGCAAGGGTTCGGGGGTGGGGAATAAAGTGTGGCCCAAGTAAATGTAAATAATTTTTTGCATAAAATTAAAAATCTCAAACCTCACTTTTTTCCAAGATTCTAAAATGAAGTCTTTAAAAAAATTGTTGCTTTGAAACACCTATACACGTTTTTGCAATAAGTTAAAATGACACAAAATACACTACGAAATGCATTCAAATGGTAGATAAGATTGTCAATCAAAGCGGATAACTCCTTTTAAAATATGCATCTTGGAGTAATTCATGGTTAAATACTTTGTAACAATAGGAATATACGGAGTAACATCTACCACAAAAATTTCAATAATTTTTTTGTCTTAATTAAGGAACTATTCTCCATTGGTAATATAGCACTACTTTTTCCAAGGTAATACAATAACTATTAATAATAGATTTTTGATTTTCTCTTTGATATTTG